TTCAAAGTTTTCCTGGCAAACTAGTGAAGGGAAAATTTCGAAACTTTTTGCATGTAAAGAGGAGGGTGAGAAGCTCATTTTCCCAAAATTTCAAATAATTCCAGTGTAAAACAGCAACATGAAGAATCTTGGAAATCAACCTACAATAACTGAATTATTTGAAAATACCGTTTCACACATTTCAAAGTTTTCCTGGCAAACTAGGGAAGGGAAAATTTTGAAACTTTTGGCATGTGAAGAAGAAGGTAGAGGCTTATTTTCCCATAATTTCAAATCTTTCAAGTACAAAATAACAACATGAAGAACCTTGGAAATCAACCTACAATAACTGAATTAATTGAAAATACAGTCTCACACATTTCAAAGTTTCCCTGGAAAACTAGTGAAGGGATAATTTTGAAACTTTTTGCATGTGAAGAGGAAGGTTAGAGGCTCATTTTCCCAAAATTTCAAATCTTTCCAGTGGAAAACAGCAACATGAAAAATCTCGGAATTCAACCTACAAAAACTGAATCAATTGAAGATACAGTCTCACAGATTTCAAAGTTTTCCTGGAGAATTAGTGAAGGGAAAATTTTGAAACTTTTTGCATGTAAAGAGGAAGGTGAGAAGCTCATTTTCCCAAAATTTCAAACCTTTCCAGTGGAAAACAGCAACATGAAGAATCTTGGAAGTCAACCTACAAAAACTGAATTAGTTGAAAATACAGTCTCACACATTTCAAAGTTTTCCTGGAGAAATAGTGAAGGGAAAATTTTGAGACTTTTTGCATGTAAAGAGGAAGGTGAGAAGCTCATTTTCCTAAAATTTCAAATTTTTCCAGCGCAAAATAACAACATGAAGAATCTTGGAAATCAACCTGTCAAAAACTGAAATAGTTGATAATTTCCTGGAAAACTAGTAAAAGGAAAATTTCGAAACTTTTTGCATGTAAAGAGGAAGGTGAGGAGCTCATTTTCCCAAAATTTCAAATTATTCCAGTGGAAAACAGCAACATGAAGAATCTTGGAAATCAACCTACAAAAACTGAATTAGTTGAAAATACAGTCTCACACATTTCAAAGTTATCCTGGAAAACTGGTGTAGGGAAAATTTTGAAACTTTTTGCATGTGAAGAGGAAGGTTAGAGGCTCATTTTCCCATAATTTCAAATCTTTCATGTACAAAATAACAACATGAAGAATCTTGGAAATCAACCTACAATAACTGAATTAATTGAAAATACAGTCTCACACATTTCAAAGTTTTCCTGGAAATTTAGTGAAGGGAAAATTTCGAAACTTTTTGCATGTAAAGAGGAAGGTAAGAAGCTCATTTTCCCAAAATTTCACATTATTCCAGTGGAAAACAGCAACATGAAGAATCTTGGAAATCAACCTACAAAAACTGAATTAGTGGAAAATACAGTCTCACACATTTCAAAGTTTTCCTGGAAAACTAGTGAAGGGAAAATTTTTAAAAATTTTTGCATGTAGGTAAAGAGGAAGGTGAGAAGCTCATTTTCCCCCTTTCGAAGTTATTGCTGTTTCACACTGTGACATCCTTATAGTAGGAGGTGGTTTTGAGTTTTCATTGTTGTACAATGAGAGAAACAACTTGTATATTTTGTGCATTTACAGACCACCATATTCTTCAAATTTAAAACAATATTTTGAAAATCTAGAAACTCTTTTAATGAATCTACCATGTAAGGCAAACCTTTTGTTGGGTGGTGATCTGAATATAAATTATGACGATGAAACATCAGAGGCTACACAGGTATTATCCAATTTGTTTTTATCATTTAACCTGCGAATGTATGTGCAGCGACCGACCCGAATTACTGCACATGGTGAAAGCAAGATTGACTATATGTGTTCCAATTTTGGCTTGGGAAATATTTTCGTGAGTTGCGAGGTAATGCCTGTTGGTTTTTCGGATCATGAGGCAGTTTTGGCTTACTTTAGATTTAATTTTAATAAGGGGCGAAAGCATAGGTTAGGTAGGTTGTTTAGTCGGAAGAACTACTATAAGTTTAAGTCTGCCGCTGAGGGTTTGAGCTGGTTTGAAGTGTTAAACACAGAATCTCCCCTTGCGTCTTTTCAAAACAAAATAAGTGGTACTTTTCTTAGATGTTTTCCACTACAGAAAATCAAACAAATCAACAGAAAGAGTTGGGTGACAAAGGGTATCAAAATATCCTCGAAAAATTTCAGATCTCTTCAAGTAATAAAAAAGCACACAAACAATCCCCGTTTTCTCTGTTACTTTGCCAAATACAGGTTAACATATAAAAAACTTTTCAAAGCTGCAAAAGACAAGTTTTACCGCGACCAAATTAAAAATTCAAATAACTCAACCAAGGAAAATTGGAAACTTGTGAACCAGTTAACGGGTAGGGACCCTTATCCCTGGTCAAGGGTGAATGTGGATGCTAATATTCTGAATAACTTTTACTGTACAGTTGCCAATAACCTGCAATCGGGTCTGAAAAGTGACATAAATCCTCTTTCGTATTTGTCTGATGTAAAAATAGATGGTACATTTGAGCTACAACCTACAAATATCGGTGAACTGAGAAATATTTTTAGGGACATAAAAAATCCGAAATCAAGCGGCTGTGACAACATTTCAGTTAGACTACTTCGGAATCTCCCTGAGACTGCTCTCTATGTGTTGGCTGAGTGTATAAATATCTCCTTTCAATTGGGCAATTTTCCTGACGTTCTTAAAACAGCAGTTGTTGTTCCAATACATAAGGGAGGTGAAACTGACAAGCCCGAAAATTACCGCCCGATATCATTGCTTTCAACACTTTCAAAGGTAATAGAGAAATTGGTCAAGGGAAGAATGTTGGAGTACCTGAATAAACTTAATATTTTAAGTGATTCTCAGTTTGGTTTTCAACCATCCAAAAACACTCACGACGCAATTTTTAATCTTTTAGATCATGTTTTCACAGCTTTGAATGAGGATGAAGTGGTCGCCACAGTCTTCTGTGACTTCTCTAAGGCCTTTGACTGTGTAAACCATGAAATTATGTTAAAAAAATTGCATGTTTACGGCTTTAGAGGAGTCTCCTTGATGTGGTTCAAATCGTATTTCTCAAAAAGAGAACAGTATGTAAAAATCGGTTCTACACAATCTCTAACTTTAAATATATCAAATGGCGTTCCCCAAGGGTCCGTTCTCGGACCGATTTTATTTTTGCTGTATCTGAATGATATATTCAGACTACCAATTCAAGGCCGCTTCACAGCTTTTGCAGATGATAACACTCTTTCTTGGAGAGGGAAAAATTTTGAAACTTTAAAGGACACAGTCTCAAGGGACTTAAAAACAATTAAGGAATGGTGTGACGCAAATTTACTGTGCTTTAATACAAAAAAAACCAACCTCATGACATTCAAATTTATTTACAATGACCTCTACCTAGATGCTCAATTAATTGAAAACAGGTCCAACTGCAAGTTCCTTGGGATTCATGTTGACAGCCAGCTCAAATTTTCCACGCATGTCAACAACCTTAACAATAGACTGGCTAGCGGATGCTATGCCATACGAACTGTATACGAGCTTGGCCATAATTCTGCCAAAATGGTATATTTCTCTTTAGTAGAATCTCACATCCGGTATGGCATAGCCTTCTGGGGATGTTGCTCGCAGACACTTTTTGATTCGGTGTTTATTGTACAAAAAAGGGCAATAAGATTTCTGTGTGGAAGAGGATATCGAGATCATTGTAGACCACTTTTCTTGAGACATGAAATTTTGACAGTTTACTGTATTTTTATCCTAGAGACAGCAATTTTAATGCATAAAAATTTTTATGACCAAATAGATCTCTCAAGAACCTACGAAACTAGACAGAAACTAAAAATTTCGTTGCCGATCCCGAGGTCTTCTTTGACATAGAACTCAGTAATTTATAAAAGTAAAAAAATATTTAATCATTTACCTGTTCACCTAAGAGAAATTAAAGAACTAAGAAGGTTTAAAACTGCTTTGAAAAGTTTTTTGTGTAAAAAAGCATATTATAGTTTGCAAGAATTTTTTGATGATAATAGTTTAGGATAACATAGTTTGTATTTTTTGTATAAAAATTTTACTATAAATAAATATTAGGAGATGCTGTTGACCAAAAATTTTATTTTGTGTTTTGTTTTTTTTAGCTACTGTATTGGATATTTTTAATTTTATGTATTTATTTTGACTGTTGTAATTACGTTATTTAGTCACTTGTTTAAATGTTTTACTCTAGTATTTAGGAACTAAAGCTTTGTCAATGGAAAATTATTTTTGTTTTTCGGACAATAAAGTATATTTTGATTGATTGATTGATTGATTTCAAATTATTCCAATATAAAACAGCAACATGAAGAGTCTTGTAAATCAACCTACAAAAACTTAATTAGTTGATAATACCGTTTTACACATTTCAAAGTTTTCCTGGAAAACTAGTGAAGGGAAAATTTCGAAACTTTTTGCATGTCAAGAGGAAGGTGAGAAGCTCATTTTCCCAAAATTTCAAATTTTTCCAGTGGAAAATAACAACATGAAAAATTTTGGAAATCAACCTACAAAAATTGAATTAGTTAAAAATACGGTCTCACGTTTCAAAGTTTTCTTGGAAAACTAGTGAACGGAAAAATTTGAAACTTTTTGCATCTGAAGAGGAAGGTTAAAAGCTCATTTTCCCAAACTTTCAAATTTTCCCAGCGCAAAATAACAACATGAAGAATATTGGAAATCAACTAACAAAAACTGAATTAATTGAAAATACAATCTCACACATTTCAAAGTTTTCCTGGAAACCTAGTGAAGGGAGAAATTTGAAACTTTTTGCATCTAAAGAAGAAGATTAGAAGTTCATTTTCCCAGAATTTCAAATTTTTCTAGTAGAAAATGAAAACATGAGGAATCTTGGAAATCAACCTACTATAACTGAATTAGGTAATTGAAAATACAGTCTCACATATTTCAGTTTTGAAATAAATGAACATGAAATAAAAGATTCTTACTTGAAAACTTGTAAGTGGTACATTATCATCAATAGCCGTATTTGGCATAACATAACTTTCCATTTCCAAATTTCCATCTTTAGTTTCTCCCACTACGATTTTGTAAAAATGCGTTGGTACCGCCACATGACTAGCTCCAATCACCTCATACCTCACATACATTTTCCCATTGTGCTCCCTTTGTGGCAAATAAAGTGGTCCAGTGCAACAATAAACATTCGGATAAGTCCTCGTCAATTTTCTCACATACTTTTCCAATCTGTTCCAAGAGTCTCTATTAAATCCTTTGCCTACTTGAGGGGCCATGTTCGATAGATAAAAAGTTTCTTCTACATGTTTCTGGCAAGTTTTGTGATTACCCGCTGCGGCCAAGTGGCCTCTGTCATACCCCGAACGCTTATAATCAGAATTGTAAGATCTAAAATATGGGTGTATTGATTTGTCTTCTACAAAATTACATTTAGAACGGTCAACTTCGTCATTTTTCCTCACGGATTCTTCGGTTAAGTGTTCAAAAACCCAATGAGCTACACGATTTCGTTTGTCATAACTTATCACGAAATCGTTGTAGGAAATTACGCTGTCCAAACTAGGAAAACCATATTTCATTATTTGAGATATTCGGCTTGAATTAGGTTTGGCTACAGTTGTTTCTGATGGTATTAACGAAGCTGCTTCAACGGTTCCAAATACTGGCAATGCTGGATAATAAGATAAGTTTACTCTGGAATATTGTGATTATTGTTTGAAATGGAATAGTTCTAAAAAGCAGTTACCTATGTGGTAAGTTGTGTCTCTCGTAGTATTTGCCTCCAAAAAATGCAGCAGTTGCCACTGTACAAGTAGTTATTGCTGTCCTAAATTTTGTACTTGCCATTGTTATTTATTTTGTATCTGGAACGTTTATTTTGTGTGTTAATTGCTCATTTATTTATTAAATTTTAATTTTTAACTGAACCATCACAACTTTACTTTTTAAAAGTTGGGTTATGTAACTGAGAAGGATTGTCAGAAGGTCACTTATTTTAAATTTGTTTTCAAAGTGGCTTTATCCTTTTTTAACTATCAAAGAAAGAAAAGGATAAAACTACTTTGAAAAGAACAAAATCATATGATTTACAAGCTAACTCACAGAAGGTCTGTTTGCACCTGGAAAAAAATGGCTCCACTTTCCAAATCCAGGTTACTACTCCTACACCTCTTTACCTTTACCTGCTCTAAGGATTTCTGCAGAAATCACAAACCAGTCAGAGTGAATTTCATTGATTGAAACTAGTTTTCTGACTGTTTTCAACCTATATATCCTATTCACAATCTGTAGTCCAAAGGTACAGGTAAATTTATCACCTTTCCTTATCAAATAGCATGAAAGGTGATAAATTTACCTGTACCTTTGGACTACAGATTGTGAATAGGATATATAGGTTGAAAACAGTCAGAAAACTAGTTTCAACCAATGAAATTCACTCTGACTACAGAGGCGCCCGCAGAAAAATATGTAGGGGGGGGGTCAAAGTCAATTGAATAAATTTTTTATGCGTAAAAAAGGGCACTTCAGTCTAAATAATCATCATAAATAAATATTTATATAAAAAAACTTAAAACATTCTTTCCATCTAAAAAATCACCAATTCGGAGATACTTATTAGGTATACAGGGTGACAATTTGAAAAGTAGCAATCGGCAATATCTCTTAGACAAAAAATACTTTCAGGAAGATCTCAAATACGTATTGGGGGATTGGAGGGGGAATCAAAATGAGGCACTTTTTGAGCCTCACCCCTTAGGGGGTAGCTACCCTAACTTATTTTTTAAAAATACAAACCTGCCCTGTGTTGCACATCGTTCGATAGCTCATTGCTTTCCCCTTACCGTCTTATAGCAAAATCTTAAATCGTAACGAACGTTTTTGAGAAATACACCATTTCCAACAGTATTTTAGAAAGCTTCAATTGTATTTTGGAATAGTCATTTGTATGCAGAAATTTATTCCATTATTCATGGGGGATTTCTTAAATACAAATGAGCAAGTGACTATTCTAAAATACAATTGAAGCTTTCTAAAATACTGTTGGACATGGTGAAGTTATTTTGACTATCTCTAAACAAAAAAAAATCTGCCATAAAAGTCTCCGATACACATCGACCAAATAATGTGTTTATCGTAATTCTATCTGCTTCTGCATACCTCCAAAGCAGAATAAAAAACCTTCCAAAGGAGGTATCACATGAGGTAGTTTCTCATTCTACACCATTTCAACCTCAATTTTGGAAAAAGTAACTTTTATTTAGGAAAATGTAAATTCAAATTCGGAAAAAGTACATTCAAATTCGGAAAAAATACATTCAATTACGGAGAAAAAAAATATAATTTTTCATAGAATAGGTATTTTGAATTGATTGAGTCCTTTATCTATTTAGAAAATCAAAAAATTTGTCCATATTTCTCAAAGAGACCCGATTTTTAAACCATAAAAAAAAAGAAAAAAATTACCAAGTCTACATAAGTAGATAGAGGATGACATTAGAAACGAAATAGAAGAATCAGATATTGAATTAATAGATCCAAATAAAGGAATATTTATAAAGGAAAAGAACATTCGAGTGACATCAATTTAACAAGATAAGGAAGTTTCAATGTTACACTTGCAATGTTACATTTAAAACCAAATCAAATTTGAATCATTTAATAACACATTTGGATATTTGTTCTTTGGAATGTAACACTTACAAAGCGGAAAAAAATGAGTTACAGCGTCACATATCAACACTCTCGGATATTTTTCCTTTTAAATGCGACACTGGTAAGAAAATATTTAAAGGAAAAGGTAATTTGAACGCACACATATTAACATACTCGGATGAAAAGAATTTTGAATGCAACATTTGCAAAGCAAAATTTAAAAGAAAAGGCAGTTTGAAGAGACACAAACTTACACACTTGGACGAGAAGAATTTCAAATGCAACACATGCAATGCAAAATTTAAAGAAAAATTTAAATTAGCAAAATTTAAACAAAAAGGTAATTTGAAAAGTCACATATCAACAGACTTCGATAGTTATCTTTTTGAATGTGACATTTGCAAAGCAAAATTCAAAGGAAAATACTGTTTGAAGAGACACAAACTAACACAGTCTGATATTTATCCTTTTAAATGTGACACATGCAATGCAAAATTTGAACACAAACGTAGTTTGGAAAGCCACCATATTAACACGCTCGGATGAGGAGAATTTTAAATGTAACATTTACAATGTAAAATTTAAAAGAGAAGGCGATTTGAAGGAACACATATTGATACACTTGGATATTTAATTTTTTTGAAACGGATATTTGCAGATCAAAATTTAAACGGAAACGCGATTTGAAGATACACAAACTAACACATTGGGGTATTTATCTATTTGAATATGACACTTGCAAGGCAAAATTTGAAGAAAAAGGTAATTTACAAAGGCACATTTCAACACACTCGGATATTTATCCTTTTGAATGTGACACTTGCAAATCAAAATTTACACGGAAAGCCGATTTAAAGATTCACAAACTAACACATTCGGTTATTTATCCATTTGAGTGTGACACTTGCAATGCAAAATTTAAGCAAAAACATAATTTGAAAAGCCACATATTAACACACAGATTGTTTATTATCTGATTCACTTAATAGTGACGTGTTCGCTTCGGGATTCTTGAATTCGGCCACAAAATTCACCTGTTCCGGAATAAGGAAAAGGGTGACAATTTTACGATAGTTGGACTCGGCCCAATCGGTTATCGGGTAGGTGGATATTTTATGACCCATCGGCCATCAGTATCAAATATGCAAATTGGTACACTGAGATATAGATATTAAATCAACTTATTTACTTCTTATAAATAGCTAAAATCTCAGGCATGGTAGAGGAAGATCCAAAATTTAGGCTTGAGCATTGAATATAAAAAAAAGATTCAGAAATCGGTAAATCGTTACATAATTGCTTCGAAATGATGTTTTTGGAGAATCAAGAAGTTAGCGATTTCTTTGTTTTTGAGTTGTTAGCTATTTAGCCGAATCACGAAGTTCTGGTTAAATTTTCAGATTATCTCATCGACACATGGCACATGCCTCGATAGACCTGGATAAAACAACAAATGCCTGTGAATCTTTCCTTAGTCATCTTTTTATTTTGCGCATCAAAATACATATTTACACTTTTTTAGATTTATTAACTCATATGCAATGCAAAATCTGTCAACATCATAAGATAAGTTTTATGGGCAGTAGAAATTTTGGCAGTAGGTTGGGTTTCATAATTTGGCCGAATTCAAAGGTAGGATTACTGCAGCTACCTGGTTTGTGGCCGAATTCAAGTATGCCCATTTCGCTCATACGAGCATCATCGGACCTATTGTTCGTCGATTTTAATCTGATACTCGGACGGAATGTGAGCTGGTGGCTCCCTACATTAGAACTCCCATGGTTACCTGACATCACACCTGTTTTTGGTATATGAAACACCCCCTCGCTCCTCATACCGCAAATATCCGTTAAAAATCGACGAACAATACAAAATAATATATGTAGAAAAATTATTGAGGGCGGCTAGCCCCCCAGACAAACGGGGCGGGGGTTACGCAATAAACACATTTAGTTTCCTCTGTGTATTTGAGACTTATATGACAGAATTCTTTTCAGGAAATAGTCAAAATTAATAGTTTTCAAAAATACTTCTTTTTAAACATTGATATCTCAAAAACTAATCGTACAATTTACATTTTGCTATAAGACTGTAAAGGGAAATCAACGAGTTATCCAACGATGTGCAGCACAAGGTAGGTTAGTATTGAAAAAAAAAAGTAATAAGTTATGGAAGCTACCCCCTAAGGGGTGAGGCGGGGTGCCTCATTTTAGTTCCTCGTCCAATCCCTCAATTCCCCCGATACGTATTTGAGATCTTTATAGTATTTTTTTTGTCCTAAGAGATATTCCCGATTGCAAATTGTCACTCTATATGTACATATACAATGTGTCCAAAATAAGGAGGGCCAGTATGGGGATCTTGGAAACAGTAAGAGATACGACGTTGCTCAAATTGGGAAAAAGTTGCGCAATTTTGTGCTCATCAAAATAGCGTTCTGATATTCTAAAAATTCCGATTGATACCGGAGATATCCGGAAGAACCCGAAATTCGCCCAAAACGATTTTATTTTTCCTGACCTTATTTGAAGAGATATTTCAAAATGAAGGGCACTTCGTCATTGCCACTTTTCCTCCTCTACAATATGGCATTATCAAATTTGTAATCCGACGTTTCGTCTTTAGCCACCATATCATCAGATCCCCATACTGGCCCTCCTTATCTTGGACACATTATATAGTGCGGTGTCATTGGTGACTAGGGTACGTTGCGTTCCGTTTTCCTATTCCGATATACATTCACGTTTTCTATTTTAATAAAAATAAAGTCGCAAAATCGGTCCGTGATCATAGTTCAACTAATATCAGAAGTTTTAATGTTTTTTATCCAAGGAAAATAATTAAAATTTAAGAAATTTCCAGGGGGGGGGTCGAATGACCCCTCCTGACCCTCCCTGTGGGCGCCCTTGTGTGACTAGTTTCTGATTTCTGCAGAAACAGACCTAATATATCCTATTCACAATCCGTAGTCCAAACTAAAGATACATTTTTCACCTTTCCCTATCAAATAGCACTGAAAGATGATAAATTTTACCTTCACCTTTGGACATCAGATTGTGAATAGATAATAGGTTTGTGCTGGACTATGGGCTACTTTTATCCCCCAAACCCCATACACTAAATTATTCTGAGATTTGAACTATAAGTCCAAATGATCTGAAAAAAACACTAAATCCAAACATGTAATAATTGCTTTATTAGACATGATTTTAAAATGATTAGAACAAAAATACTGATGTTTCAATGATCTAAATAAATAAATTAATTGCCTTAAAGAAGAATTTCTACAATAATAGTTATTAGAATAATACTTGCCAAGCAAAAAACATTTGACTCGGAGTCAAACAATTTTATTATCAAACTATTTAAAATTCTCAACAATTACCTACCAGAATCAACAATTATTATTAAAAACATAAAAATAAACAGTTTATAATAAACCTCAAATAAATAAATTTAATCTATTATTATAATGTCTCACGTTTCTAATGGTAAAATCAGGCAGTCCACATTACGCTTTCAACTTGGTAGGCTCCAAAGGCTTGGTTTTCATGTAGGGTGTCTTTGGCCATGCCCACAAATTGGGTAAAGATGGCTCATACGAGCAGTTGTATTGCTGGTCTTCCACGTACCTTCTGAGGTCTTTGGGTTTGGGATAAACTGTCGCGATCCCTATAAAATATATATATATATATAAAACTTTCATAAAACTTTTTCAACATTTCTTACTCTCTTTATAGGCATACTCCAAGATTTTAATTGCAATTTGAACAGACACTTCAGGAATCTCATTCAATGGTGGATAGATTCGGCCTTTAGCTAAATAATCTTCAGTTACATTTTCAGCAACTGTTTCTGATGCCAGTAAAAACACGTCTTCACTAATATGATGAATTCCCGAAGTTAAAACACCAAGAGCCACTCCAGGGAATATGTAAGCATTGTTGCCTTGGCCGGGCTTGAAAGTTTTTCCCCCAACAGTCACAGGTGGGAAGGGGGAGCCACTGGCAAAGATACACCGCCCTTCTGTGATGGTGTAAGCTTGCTCGGCAGTACACTCGGCATTAGCTGTCGGATTACTCAGAGCGAAAATGACAGGCCTTTCGTTATGTTCGCCCATGGATCTGATGATTTCTGGCGTGAAAGCTCCGCCAGTGGCAGAAGCGCCGATCAAAATTGATGGTTTAATTTCGTTGACCAGGCCAAGGAAGTCTTTTGTAGGCGCGTGATCTTTGGAGTAATACTTTTTGTGGCCTTCAAGATTGCCTTCTTTTCTATCGTTGGCTAAAAGTCCGTCGATGTCGAACATCCAGATTTTGCTACGCGCTTCTTCTATTGTGGAACCTTCCAGAACCATAGCTAGAATTGATTGAATGAAGAAGCATTGATTTATGAGGTGAATGTTTGTGCAATATGCTTAAAAGAAAAACATTATTACCTCTCACAAGTAAATCGGCAATACCCAAGCAAGCGCCACCAGCACCTAGAAAACAAAGTGTATTTTCTGAAAATTTCTTCCCAGTGATTCTTCTACTAGCCATTAAACCAGAAACGGCAACGCTGGCTGTGCCCTGAATGTCGTCGTTGAAGGTGCAGTAATGATCTCTGTATTTCTTCAACAGCCTAAAGAACACAAACTAGAACCCAAGAACGTTGCAGCTTAATCAGTTACCTGAAGGCATTATGATTAGCAAAATCCTCAAATTGAATCAGAGTGTTTTGACCATAACGCTGCACCACCGCCTCCATAAATTCATCCAAAAAGTCGTCGTATAACTTACCAGTCACACGTTTTTGTCTGAGGCCTACGTACAAGGGATCCTCCAGTAAACTCTATAAACATTTTTCATTAAACCTAAAAACAATTTGCAATGGGTACTCTTACCTGTCTATTAGTACCGACATCCAAAACGATTGGTAAACATTCGTGCGGCTTTATGCCTGCCAAGGCAGTGTACAAAGCCAATTTTCCTACAGGGATGCCCATACCGGAAGCACCCAGATCTCCCAAACCCAAAATTCTTTCTCCATCGGTTACCACAATGGCTTTGACGTTCGCTTCGGGCCTAAAATTGGAAGAATTTTGAAGTGAAGAGATGGAGAGGATAAATAAAAGACAAAACAACAGACTTTTAGATGGGAATGGAATCTTATTGTAACGTTCTTTTTACGCCTCCCCTTAGTCTTTTTCCTTTCCAGTTAAATTTTGTGAAGAAATGCTTCTAGCTCCTTATGATTCAACCCTCGTAAAAATATGTCCCTCCAATTTCCTCTTAGCATCATTTCCCATATATGTATGTATATTGAAAAATTGAATGAAAAGCTTGATTATTAATAAAATATTTTGAAACTTAGAAATCATTTCTTGCAAAATGAAGCACTTAAATTATTCAAATCGTAATCGCATGACTCTCCTATTCTCCCCAATTATCCTATTATTGCGTCACAACAACATACTCAACAATGCTTATCTAAAGCGGTACGCTTTGTTAGGTTTATCAACAATCTAGTGACAAATAAATATTGATAGTTATTATTGCCAAATCAATGTTGACACAGATAAGCGTTAACCACAAACAAACAAACACAAGACAATGTTCTACCTTCTACCCTCCAAAATCAAGACAATAAAAATTACCAAAAACTCTGTCTATGTACCAGTTTTTGAGGACGTCAAATATGTGCCCGATGTCATTGATGGTGATAAACAGTCCTCTGGGTCGTCGATAGATCAAACCGAATTTCTGACAAGCCAAACCAACTGTAGGGGTATAGACGATGGGCATGAGAGCTTCAATGTTTTCGGTCAAAAGTCTGAAAAATAGTTTTTCGTTTCGGTCGTGCAGCTCGGTGAGGTACAGGTATTTGTTGAGGTCCTCTTGGTAGCGTTGGATGGATATCCGACAAAGTTCGAGTTGTTCTTCTTGAGTCTTGAAACGGGCCGGTTGTAGACCATGGATGCCTAGGGCTTGTCGTTCTTCTAAGGTGAATGCCAAACCCTACAGAAAATTTATTCATTATTTATTTTCAAGTGATACTGCAAAGCAAATGCAGGTAAAATTGGATGAGCGCAAGAACATGTTTGAACTAGAAAATCTAGATTTTTATAGAGAGGTGTGAAAGCAACCAGATTAATTAATCTAGCATTGTGAATAATAATAATAATTGTAAAGGTCACACACATTACTTAAGTCAATATTTACCAGGCTCAAGCATTTTACAACTATTTGCATTAATATTCGACCGTTATTTAAGTCTTAGCACAAGGATAACAAACACCTCTATTCATCAAATTTACCTCTCACCTTATTCAATCTAGGATCTCTCAAATGATCAATTCCCAGTACTTGAGAAGGGCTAAGAATGTCACCATGGTACTCCCTTTTAGAGTCAAGAAAATTCACTGATTCTATTATCAGTGGTTTTTGATTCAGATTGTTTCTCGAGGCCCTAGACAGACGCACGCTGTAATAAGAGAAAATGTTATTTTGAAATTTATATCAAAGGAAATAATAAAAATATGCACACAGGTTTGTTTTATTGTATCGGCCTCTGCATTTTGGCTGCTGACCAAAAATTTGTCCTGTAGCAACATAGTGAAGGTAAAATAATCCCACGACAATTTTTTCTTTAGGTAGAATTTTCTGTCAGTTTAGGTATTGTCCTGTTGAATGCAATAGAGCTTTACCTAAGTTTAATGATAATAACTTTTGAGGTTTGCGGAAAGTGTTAAAATGTAGAATTTCCAGAAATATATTTTTTTGGAAATATTCAGCAATCGCAGTAACTCAGAAAATAAAAGTCATGAGTAGGTTGATTCTTCTCTAAAAAAACTTAAGATCCTGAATTTCTGGTTTCAAAAATTTTAATATTTTGTCAGATTCCTAAGTCTTTAGATCCTGAATATTCAATTTGCAAATTTCCTGTTTTTGGTTTGGACTTGAATTTTCCAGGATCTTTAAATTCTATCGCAGCCTCATGGCATCTCTAGATTTCAGATCCTGAATTGTTATTTTGCAAATATTCTGTTGAATGTTTCTTAATGCTTTTATGAAAAAAAACTCTAGAAACTTCAATACATTCTGCATTCTGAATCACTGTTTTGAAAATTTCCTGATTCTTTTGGTTGGGACTTGAATTTTCCAGCCTCATGGCCTCTTCAGACTTCAGATCCTGAATTGTTATTTTGCAAATGTTCTGTTGAATGTTTCTTAATGCTTTAATGAAAAAAACTCTAGAAACTTTCATACATACTGAATTCTGAATCATTGTTTTGAAAATATCCTGATTCTTTTGGTTTGGACTTGAATTTTTCAGGATCTTTAAATCCTATCGCAGCCTCATGGGCTCTTCAGACTTCAGATCCTTAATTGCTATTTTGCAAATGTTCTGTTGAATGTTTCTTTAATGCTTTTATAAAAAAAACTCTAGAAACTTCAATAAATACTGAATTCTGAATCATTGTTTTGAAAATTTCCTGACTTTCAAGATTACAAATCTTGAGTCCTTACTTTGCAAACTTCCTGTTTCGTTTAGAAGAAGATTCTTAGATCTCAACATAAGATCCTGTCAGCTTCTCAGGTCTTCTTAGATCTTGTATTATCTATGGATCCTAAGACACTGAACTCTAAAAACCTTGAAAATTTCTTGGTGCTTTTATGAAAAGCTCTATAGACACTGAATTGTGAGTTAGTATTTTGCAAATTTCCTGATTATTCTGAGAAAAGACTCTCAAGATCTCAAATCTTGAGTTATTAGGTACTTTGCAAACTTCAATAGAAGATTCTCAGAGTTTCCAGTACCTCACCTGTCAGGCTTTCAGAATTTTTGATGATGAAAGCGAGTGGGAGATAACTCCGCTAAATCAGTGTAGAAACCTGGCATAATTTGATTGAAATCTTGAATAAATCATCACATCACTAATAATCTAGTTGAATCAGGATAAGTCTCTAAAAATCAAGAGAAGTCTCCAAAAATCAAGAGAAGTCTCCAAAAATCAAGATAAATCACGTGTAAATCAATGTAAATCAAAAAAAAAAAACACAGACTTGACAACAAAGTGGCAAGGTAAAACCTGTGGTAAAACATTAACTATATTGACAAGCAATAAACATTGAGAGATCGGTTTAAATCTCAATAATTCCCACGCAAAATCACAATAAATCATTGTAAGTGAATCAGTTTTGAATCTCATAAATCAGAAAAAATCTTGGGGTAATTTTAAGACGTCAGACTTCATTGACATTAAAAATTTCTTAAAATAGATTATCAAAGTGTCAATGACAGTTTCATTTACACTGAGATTCCATTCTCGACAGTTTATAGTGTATTTATCTCTGGTTTCAACTATAGTTTTTGATTTCTCAACATATTGACTCATTACTTTGCAAACTCTGGTTTTTCTACGAGAAAACTTTTAGGACCATCAAGTCCTGTTAGATTCTTAGGATCTCTAGATTCTCATTTTTTTTTTTGCAAATGTTCTGTTTTTCTTTAAGAAGGGTCTGTAATTCTTAAGATCGTTAAGCAAATCTTGAAAATCCTTGGTACTTATAAGACAACACTTTTGAAGCTGTAGATATTGAACTCTTAGATGTTACTTTGCATATTTTCTGATTCTTCTGTAGAAAAGCTATCAGAATCCTGAATCTTGAAATAATACTCTGTAGGTAAGATGTCTTGTTCGTCTAAGGGAGGATTCCTCAAACCAAGATTCTGAATCGTTCTATTGCAGATGTTTGTGTTTTTTTTTTGACAAGACTCTATGGATTCTGGGATCCGGAATTTTTGAAAATTTCTTGGTTTAGTTATGGGAAAGCTCACCTTGCAAATCCCCTTATTTTTCGTCCTGAAGATTATCTGGTTTTCCTAAGGAAAGGCTTTGATAATCCTCGAGTCCTGTCAGATTATTCAGATTCTTAGGACCCTCAAATTCTGAATAATTTCTTTGCAAATATTCTGTAATAATTTCTTATGAAGGCTCTACAGTTCGTAAAATCACGAATTCTTCAAACCCTGAAAATACTTTGGTGCTTTCATGACAAAACTCTGAGAACATTAGATTCTGAAGACTGAATTACTTTGCAAATATCTTGATTCTTCTCTATACCTAAAGCCTCACGATTCTGAGATCCTGAATTCTATGAAACTGGAAGATTTCTCGGTAATTCTATGGAAAAAATCTGCAAACTTTGGATTCTGCTTTCTGAGTCCTCACTTTGCAAATTGTCTTATTCTTCACCATGAAAATTCTCAAGATCCTGAATCTTGAGCCATGAAAAATTTCTAGTTTTTCAAAGAGAACACTTCAAGAATTATTTGGTGCTTTCATGACAAAACTCTGGGAACATTAGATTCTGAAGACTGAATTGCTATGCAAATATCTTGATTCTTCTCTATACCTAAAGACTCAGGATTCTGAGATCTTGAATAGGGTACTTGCATCAATTTTTTTATTGCTGATTTCGTTAGTGCATGAAAAATAAGTCAACACGTGTTTTTTCTTTTTCTTCTTAGTCAAAAATTGGCGGAGATACCTACAAGGCTATGAAATATGCCTATGACGTCACTTATCATATAAATTAGTGACGTTGCACATGCTCAGTATATCTATATATACAAAATTCAATATTTGTATAACTTCCGGAATAATCATATTTGGGCGAAATTAAAAAAAAGTAACGATTTTTTTTCGATTTCCTACAGTTTGCAATAAACAATAATCAATTTAATTTTCCATGCAAGTACCCTATTCTATAAAACTGGAAGATTTTTTGCTAATTCTATGGAAAAATTCTCCAAACTTTGGATTCTGCTTTCCGAGTCCTCATTTTGCAAATCGTCTTATTCTTCACTATAAGAATTCTCAAGTTCCTGAATCTTGAGCCATGAAAAACTCAATGAAAAAGTTTTTCTAAGAGAACACTCTAAGAATTTTTTGGTGCTTTCATTACAAAACCCTGGGATCATTAGGTTCTGAAGACTGAGACATTACTTTGCAATTAAATATCTTGATTATTCTCTATAAAGACTAATTCTGATTTTGGTCAATACTTTGGAAACTTTTTGACTCTTCTGAGTGAAGATTTTTGGAATTTCAAGATCCTGAATCGTTCTAATGCTGAAGTTTGTTTTTCTTTGAGAAGACTACAGATTTTGAGATCCTGATTGCAATAAAACTTGAAAATTTCTTGATGTTTCTATGGCAAAACTCTAGAAACTTTAAATTCTGCATTCTGAATTCTCACTTTGCAGATACCCTTATGCTTCACCATGAAAATTCTCAAGATCCTGAATCTTGAGTCATGAAAATTTTGTAGTTTTTTCCAAGAGAAGATTTGAATTTCTTGGTGTTTTCATGGCAAAACTCTTGAACATTAGATTCTGAAGACTGAGACTTTACTTTGCAAATACATATCCTGATTCTGTTCTATTAAGACTTTGAGGATTCTGATTTTTGTCAATATTTTGGAAACTTTCTGGTTTTTCTAAGAAAAATTTTTAAGAATCTTCGTGCTTTCATGACAAAACTCTGGGAGCATTAGATTTTGAAGACTGAGAAATTACTTAGCAAATATGTATCTTGATTCTTCTCTATAAAGACTGGGATCCTGAATTCCATGAAACATGTTATTTTTTTGGTGTTTTTAAGAGAAAACTCTACACACTTTAGATCCTGCTTTCTGAGGCCTCATTTTGCAAATGTCCGAGGGGTTATTATTCACTAAGGGAAAAATGTGACAAGATTTCGGATTTAGAGCGTGTTCGGAGGATTTTGGAGGATTACGGTAGGATTTCGGAAAGATTTCGAGGGATTATTCACTGTGACAGGATTTCAGATTTAGAGCGATTTTGAGGGATTTTGGTTGATTTCGGTGATTCCGAAGGATTTCGGGTGATTTCGGATGATTTCGGAGAATTTCAGGTGATTTCGCAAACATTTTAATTTGATTTTAGACTGTTACTTATGTTATAAGTATATTCGAAAGTGTATTAGTATAAACTGAAAAACGGCGGCGTTGACCGATTTATGAATTTTGGGCAAAATGCGAGGGATTTTTGGGTCTGCGGATAGATTTCTGAGAGATTTCGGAGGGATTTCGGCGGATTTTGGAGGGATTTCGGCGGATTTCGGAGTGATTTCGGGGATTTCGGTAGGATTTCGGTAGGATTTCGGAAAGATTTTGGGGATTTCAGACGAATTTGTGACACGAATTCGGGGAGTGATTAACCCCTCGCAAATGCCTTTATTCTTTTACCTTGAAAATTGTCGAGATCCTGAATCTTGATTTCTAAAACTTTTTGGTTTTTCTAAGAGAAGACTTTAGGAATCCTGTCAGATTCTTAGGACCTTGAAATCCTGAATCATATTTTACAAATGTCCTGTTTCTCTTTGAGAAGGCTTTATAATTCTTACGATGAGAATTATGCAAATCCTGAACATTTCCTAGTACTTTCAAGACGAAACTCTTAAAACTGTAGATACTAATACTATGAGTTAAGATCGCATCGAGGATTGCATTTTTCAAAAAAGTACCTACCTAAAAAAGGCAGGTAAATATACAGAGTGTTTGAAATTATATTGTGGAGGTGCTAGCATATAATTTTTACTATTTTGGGGTAAAAAAAATAGTTTCAAAACTTAAAAAAATCTATTAAATGTGCTAAAAGGTACCTAAAACAAAACTTAAAAGCATAATATATGTAATAAGTACTGATTTTTATTAGAAACTTGACTATCATTTATACTCGCATTTATATAACCAGTGTCTCAACCAGTGCTCAGCTGTGTTTAGAAGCAAAATGACCCTGAACTTCAATAATTTAAAAGATTGATGAACTGCTAATTAGAATGTGGTTTTAAAATAATATAAAATTTACTAGTTATGAATAAATCACATGAAAGGAACTGCTGTAAAATTATGCTTGAAACACTGAATACCTACTTAACTAAGTAAATACAGCATTGGATAATTATAAACTCGATTATAAAAATAAATAAATTTCCTGTTTTATAATAGTTCCACCGGGATTTCCACAGTAATTTGCAGCAGCATATAAATAAATTAATAATAATGAGTTAAATGAATATTGTCAACATTAAAATGTATGCATTAGGTACTATAATGGGACTCGCTTATAGTCCAGGAGGTGGCGCCCAAAACATGCAAGAGTTTTCGCAAGGCGGATATTTTCAAAATAGGTCGTACTTTAGTGCTAGAATTCTAGTGTACAGTCAGCACTCACAGTTCCGGGACAGCTGGCTCTGGGACGCGGGCAAAGTTGTAATTTTAAGAAGCATCTAAACTGTTTTCTCAAAGCTCAAAATTTATAGAAATTTTGCACATTATTTTTTGCTGGTATTTGACAAATATATTTAAAGAAAATGCCATAAAATAAAAACTTTGAGGACGTTTGACCCCCTTTTTGCAACGAACTAGACGTCTGACGATTTACATACGTTATCTGTGACCTTCAAACAGATAATGTGCAAAATTTCTATAAATTTTGACCTTGAGAAAACAGTTTAGATGCTTCTTAAAATTACAACTTTGCCCGCGTCCCAGAGCCAGCTGTCCCGGAACTGTGAGTGCTGACTGTACACTAGCATTCTAGCACTAAAGTACGACCTATTTTGAAAATATCCGCCTTGCGAAAACTCTTGCATGTTTTTGACGCTAGCTCCCCAACTATTTTTGCTTGTTAACAGTTAGATAATCATTTCTATTTTAATCAAAGTTTGTGCCAACTTATCCTTGGATATTATGCACTGTTATTTTACAGGAATGAGACAATGACATTACAAAATACAGGTACTTTTAGGTTTATAAGAGGCTATTTTTGTTAGAAATCGAAAAATCTAGGACTATAATGCGTTTAAATTTTGTTTTGCTTATATTTTTGGAGATTCAAATTCCATTTTTTTTTAAATTATGGACATTCAAACAGGACAAAATCCACAAAGGAGTGTATGGATAAAACCAACTATACATACATTTAATATCGATTGATCCAGATTGGGATCCTATTCTGGATTCAAAAGGGAACATTGCCAACAAAATTTAAAGCAAATACATAACTGGTTGATACTCACATTAGAGATCGTGGTATGAGGGCGAACATTTCTGTAGATTCTGGCACCAGACACTCTACGGAAAAACTCTACAATACTCTACACTTTCGTCTTTTCCCTACGATAGATTTTTTCGGGAGAGTTTTCTGGGAAAATGACCAATATTTATTCAATTTATGCGCTTGTGCCAAAATTCTCGAACCCATGAAAGAAAATTGAAATTGGCGCAAGTCAGTTCCAATGTGTCAAACTGAAACTGGTGGGTGGGATAGTGTAGCGTTTTCTTTTTGTTGAACTGGTGCAACATGATCGTTCTATCGTTCCAAAATCCCTAGTTCGGATAGGATTTTTTTTGAAATTCCGTACTATTCTGTACTCAAATCAAATCGACAATCGGAAACTATCGGTTAACTTTGGGAGAGCTTTAAAGCACTAGCTGACGTCACACACATGACCTCAGAATAACATTTTTGTCCAAGACTCCTAAAGTTCATAAATAGGTTGTCTGGTGTAATGACTCGGGAAAATGGACCTGTAATTTACAATGTCTTTATACTGTAAAAATTAAATGTAATCAAATAATCAAAAACTGAATCTCTAGTAATTAACATCAGTATCAATAAATTGAAAATGAAACCAAACCCAAATTATTTAAAATAGGTATCTCAAAAACGTTAATTTCTTATTATTTCGTCATCATCTAAATCAAATCCATAAGAATATTAAAAGCGAGACTAAAGTAATTAAATCGGTGATTTATGGCCGAGACGTCAACACGTGTATCGGTGTTCTTTGAATTATATGTCCAATTCTTCCAACCAAATCTATTGACCCCGATAAACCAGGAAATTGCGACATAATTGTTCGATTTTAAACCAATAAAAGAGGAAGGTTATTGAATGATGAAAATTGGAATTTTTGGGGGAACGAAACATATAAATACAGCGGTTTTAGATGTGGAGGAGCAGATCAGTTTAAGTTCAGTCCTGTTTGAGTTAAATCTACAGTACAGTCAGACCGGTTAAAAATTCGCTAAGAGTTTCTTTTATTTTGTTGCCTCGGGAAAACGCGTTAAGTCTTTGAAAAAAAAAATTAACGGAAAAATTGTGAAAGAAACAGCATTTAAATTCGTTCAACATTATGTGCGAGCTCTAGAGATTTTTGAAGTAAATTAATCAAGTAATTTTACGAGTGAAAAGTTAAATGTAAATGTAAGTACATACTCTATAGTGCATAAATCTATGGCATAACTAGTAAAACTTTTTGACTTTATAAATGATGATTGATAAGAAGTGAATTGACATTGAACTTTAATGCATAAAAACTTGAGTGATTTGACTGTAAAAACTTTATTGCATATTTTTAATTGCCTTCGAGTATAATGACATTTTGTCATTTTCATTAATTTTGCAAAGAATTAACAAAGGAAAATTATAATGCTCTTAACAATATTCGATTTTGAGTAGTAATTATTAAAGAATTTTGAATTGGATTGTAAAATTGAAGTTTAAAAGGGCTATAGTAACGAACTAATAAGAATTAAATAATTGTGTTTGTTGGCTAGGAATCCGAGTATAGTAATTGTTCTGTTAAAAATGATCCTTAGTGAAGGATGGGAGCCACCAAAAGTAAAAGAATGAATCATTAAAAATATGGGAAATTTTTGTTTGAAAATTGTTGTTCATAAAAGTACCATTGATGACTTAAGGGCTGAAATTTTGAATTAGGTTTTTTTTTCATTTAGAAATTATTGTAAGGTTTTTATAAAAATATAGTTGGTAATACATATATACTTAATCCAGTGAGTCGGATTATGACTTAAATAATTATTTTGCATAAGTAGTCAGTAATGGACGTTTCCACCAACTATTTTAGGGAAGCTTTAATGCCTTTAATGATAGGTATTCCTTAAAGTGACAGTTTTCGATGGGGAAATGTCAGTTTAGGGAATTCTTATCGTTAAGGCTTCCCTAAAATAATTGGTGGAAACGGCCATAAATGACTTAGGAGTTTTAAGAGTTTATAGAAAAAGGGTAGTTTTATTAGGAACTAGCTAATGACCCGCTGCGTTGCCAGCTTGTGAATACATTTTGAAATAATACACTTCTTTTTTTTAATCCGATATCAGAGTCGCTTGCCAGTGAGTTCAGTGACGCATTTTAAGCACTCCAGAGCTGCTCTAGAGCGCCCCGGGCTATTTATAGGCGTTCCAGTGTATCAGAGTTTTACGCAACCAAATTTTTTTTTTTTTCGGGATAAAAAATAGCCTATATCACTCTCCTCTATAGCCGATTCGATTGACCGGATTAGATCGATCTGGTTCAATTTAAATGAACCACACTGTGTTCGATTCAAGCTGGATCAGTGCACCCTCATCTACAAAAAATGATCTAGATCAGAAGAAGTTCACTTAAATTGAACCCAAATCGATCTAATCTGGGTCAATCGAATTCACCTTATATAGAGATACGTGGTATTAATTCAAGATTGGTCCAGCCGTTCTTGAATTCAAAAAATAATAAAGTTACGTCGGTTGAATGCAAGCCTAAATAAATGAAATATGTCAACGTTATTTCATGCTGTCAAAAAAAGTTGGGTTATGTTGTTATGTAATGTGTGTGTTTGTTTACAATTAAATTAGTAATTAATTCAAAATTAATTTCTTTTTCCGAGATGCGTAACCTATCCACAAACCTTCCTTGGGATGGCCATAATAACCTACCATAGTTTCATCGTAATCGGATAAGTGGTTTTAGAGCGCATATCCGGATACCCCGTGAACTTTGATTTTTATATATAGATGTGAATCGGACGTGTTGTTTAAAGGAGTAAATGTATAAACTTATAAGTTAATAAGAATAGAAGAAGTAGGGCGTTTTTAGTATGAATATTTCCTGGTCCGTGGTAATGAAATTTGAACGGATGTGAAATAACTTGATTTAGGAAAAATAGAAGTGGCTGTCAGACATAGAAAGATATTTGCTTTATTTCAATATTGGTTTTAAGTATAATAAAATATAATTTAGTAAACCTCAATATTTTGTTTCTCTCTTTTGCGAATAGACCTTCTCCACAATTTTATAGGTAGCCGCTCAAGAAAATAAACACCATGAATATACCGCTCGCCATTTACCATCTAACTACTTAAAAAGAGTACTTGGGCGCGTTTTGCTACACTGGTAATGGGTAACCAATGTAACTTGATGACGCATCTGGTGTGCCTAATGAATATTTGCATGTTGAGGCATACAGATGACGTCATAAAAGTTATCAGGCAACCTCGTTTTAAGCAACCTTGATTTTTGTACTCCTATCGAAAGTGACGTTATTTGATTTTTGACGTAATAGCTTAACTATAGCGTAACTTATGTCCGTAGGACAGCGCTTTACCTGCTCTTAGCTAGCGCCTGCGTGTAAAAATTTCAATGGTAAAAATAGACCTTCAAACGCTTTAATTATCCCTTCATCGAAAGTCGAATGTGAGGCTGTGTGTGACGTCAGCTAGTGCCTGATTGTCGATAGCTGAATAACAAAAATTAAAATGGATTTTGCTTGTCGATGGCTGGCTGCTCTCGATCGCGTTTGAGCAACCGAAAAGCTCTATGTATATAATTGACCAAGCTAATTTTGGTTTAAAACCTTATTGTTAGTTATTTTTGTGTTTTGTATTATTTGTTCCATTTTGCTTTGAAGAAAAGATAACAAGCGTTTTTGTTTGCTAGAATTTCCATTTTAGCAGGGTGTCAAGTTGCAAGGAGAGTACACACTATAGGATCGCTTATCGGCCTTGTTTTTGGTATTCGCCGCCATATTGGTATGTCGCACCATTTCCGACGTCACAACTAAGTCGTCAGCTGTTTGCACTAGTGGTCGTATCGTACTTTATGACAATTCATTCTTTCCAATCATCCTTGCGTTCGGTATTTTGCTCAAAGAGCAGAGCGTGCTGAGCGGAGCCGTAATCACGTGACCAGTGAGCGAACAGAGCAGTTGAACGCTGAATAAAAGTGCTAGAAATTTTAATAAACGAACGCGAATGAGGCTGCACCGAGTACACTTATTAAATAAACGAACGGTAAAGTCAAGCTCGGAGAACTCGGGCCAAAATAACGAACGCACGGCATGATACAATAGCCGTGTTCGTTTTTGTCACCTTTTTCGTCGATTTACTCCGAAATATTGACAGGCATGTGATTTGTAAATTGAAACTGTCTGATCCAGTCACGTGCCTGTCAAAATTTCGGAGCAAATCGACGAAAAAGATGTCAAAAACGAACGCAGCCAATGAAGTCCGTCGATTTTAATCTGATACTCGAAATGAATGTGAGCTGGTGGCATCCTACATTAGAACGCCAATGGTCACCTGACGTCACACCTGTTTTTGCCATATACTTCACCCCCTCGCTCCTCATACGGAAAGTGTTAGATAAAAATCGACATAATTTTTGACTAACATATTAGGCAAATAGGAAGATGCAAACGAGAAAATGGTTGTTTGAGAATGTTAATTAATGTAGTTAAACCAAGTATGCATAAAGCAAAAGTCCGCGGAATCATAACCTGTCTGTGGTGCAAACAGCTCACGTCAAGGCAAGAAAGGACATGCTTCCTACGTCACAAATGGTGATTTGACATGGTGGGGGGCTTCAGATTTGTTCTAAACAGACCTTATCAGGATAAGTTATCCTGTAGTAGTAGTGTGTATTATCCTTGACAGAACGCAGGTAGTGTACAACTTGAGGTTATGATGTTTTGTTTTGAAAATTGCTAAGCAAACAATTTTTCCTTTGCATTCTCATTTTCTGATAATTTGTTTCAAGTTTCAAATAAATTTTTGAAAAATCCCAATTCCAAACATGCTAGAGGAAGATTCAGGCCCTTCGGAATTAGGCACCTTGGAATTCTGGAACGCCCAATACTCGAAAGAAGTGGAAAACTTTTCGCGACACGGAGACCAAGGAGAAATTTGGTTCGGAGAAGACATAGTGGACAGAGTAATAACGTGGATGACCTCAAATGTCGATACCACAGCTAGTATTGTCGATATCGGTTGCGGCAATGGACACATTTTAGCTGAACTAGCTCGGCTTGACTATAAAAAACTTACCGGCTTGGATTATTCAGAGCCAGCTATAAAACTAGCCAAAGCAATAGCTGAAAAGGATGGACTTGAGATACATTATGAGGTTAGTGATGTTTTGGAAGGCTTACCAAATAAATATGATGTAATTCATGATAAAGGTACCTATGATGCTGTTTGCCTGAGTGAAAACAAACTAGAAGCTCGAGCAAAATACTTAATGAGTATTGAAAAGGCATTAAATGATAATGGCTATTTTATAGTAACCACTTGCAATTGGACCACAGATGAAATATCAGATCACTGTAAAAACTATTTTGAATTATTTAAAACAATTCCAACACCCCAGTTTAAATTTGGAGGAAAAATTGGACATGTTGTATCAATTTGTGTATTCAAGAAAAAAAAGTGAAAAATAAAACAATTTAACTAGAAAAATATGTTTTTAAAAAATAGTATTTTTATTTGATTGATTAATTATTCTTTTTCTCACTATTCCTTGGAATGGAAGTTTCAATTAATTCAACTGCGCAAACTTTTGGGATCCAACCTCTTTGCCTCAATAAGGCTTCCTGGCCTTGTGGCAGGTGCGTTTGGATTTTTTCACCAAAAATCCAATGCCTGAAAAAATTTTTGTGTGTAATAAATATGTATGTATAGTAAGTTCCAACTAACTTCCTCCATCTGGTAACTCGTATTAAATTTCCAATATCAACTTTCAGTCTTGGCTCATCAGTACATGGAAAATTGCAACAAACCTTCAGCCCAAAAACTATAGGAAACCAATAACCTGATGCCGGTTTTACAATCCTATACATGCGAGTTTTAAGTTTTTTTTCATTTTTTTGTTCCTTTTGTTCAACCTACAATAATTGTCATTTAATATTATTTGTTCCTTATGTACTATTATTATTTCTTACTGTAAGTGTATATTGATTACATCCTTCTAAAACTGGCCAATTAATACCATCACCAACAGGTTGACCATTAGAAGTCAATACTTGCCTAATGTTTGCCCACCAATCTAAATTATATGGATAAATAAATTGATCTGGTTTGTTTCTTCTGCGATAATTTGCTTTTTCAACAATCCAATCTTCAATTCCAGTTCTGTTTCTTAATATTGCACGAAACTATAGAGAAGTTTTTTATTATGCATGCAACATTAAAAATTTAGTGTTACCTGGACAATAAATAGCATTCCAACTGCTATAACAACCCCAATAGCAAAACCCAAAGAAAGTACAGTTATAATCATCCCTAATAAACTCAAACTTACAATTGGAACATTTTGAATCCTATTATATAAATAATGATTTCTATGAATGGCCCTAAAATAAAAAAAAAAGACATATTTTACCAAAATGGAACACTATTTTTGTGAAAAATAGGTACCTATAAAGAGAGCATCCTAAAACAATACTGGCATGTAAACATCCTAATGTTGCAAACAATAAAAAATAAGTAAAATGTGCATGATTCCCCCATCCTACGCAATTATTGATCCAGGGACAGTGATGGTCCATTTTTTGAACACATCTACCACCTAGAAGTAATTTCTAGAAATTTTCAGGCAAAAAAAAAACAATAATTATTTTTACATTTTCTGCAATGATGCGATCTAGGTGCCTTGAACCCGTGACAAACTCCACAACTTTGTAAATATTGGCAGTCATTTGAATTGGCCTAAAAATGTTTGTTGATCTTCTTAAAAATACTTTGAAACAAGGAAATTCTTACTGGAGTCCATTTAAGGGGTAAGTAGCCTGGTCCATGATACATGGCAGATAGTAAGTTGAATAATGTAAGTCCCGAAAGGCTCATGAAACATAAAGTATTGATAAAACCTCCAAACGTTGTCGAGGGCCACCACATTCCGCTACAATGGATTGTTGAAGCTGTGACTAGTTTTATTATGCCTTGAAATCAATCGTAAATATGGGATTAAAATAATTTAGACAGATTGTTACCTATTGCTGTTAAAGGGCCCCAATGGCAAAGCCTTTTAAAAGGTCCAAGACACATTTTCAGGTTTTTTTTTTAGGTGATTTAAGTTATTATTGGAAATTTCTATACCTCAAGTGCAATACTGGGTTCTTATACTATAATGAAACATGTTTATGTGTTTACTGCCAAGAATAAATACATTAAAAAATAGAAAAATATTCCAGATATTCAATTGAATCCAGAACATCCACTAATCCAAAGATAGAAATGGACAAAACAAAATAAATATTAGTCATTTTTTGCACCCACCCAACTCCAGCTGACCTAACAACAACCCGTGCGTTCGTTATTTTGGTCCGAGTTCTCCGAGCTTGACTTTACCGTTCGTTTATTTGAAAAGTGTACTTGGTGCAGCCTCATTCGCGTTCGTTTATTAAAATTTCTGGCACTTTTATACAGCGTTCAACTGCTCTGTTCGCTCACTGGTCACGTGATTACGGCTCCGCTCAGCACGCTCTGCTCTTTGAGCAAAATACCGAACGCAAGGAACAAATAATAATAATGTCAATGTCACTGTCAAACAAACAGCGGAAATCGATGTGTTCGAATTTTTATAAGCTGTGTAATGTGTGTGGTTATATCTTTTTTTATCAGCTTGTAAAAGAAAAATACAAATTAAATGCCGAGTTAATATTCTAGGCGATGCAACCTGCGACATCTATCGACAGTTTCTAGCAAAGTCGATTATTCTACTTTGTCCTTTGTTTTCAAATTTCCCTGTTCCCCTGGGGAAAAGCTGTTTTTTTTCTTGCCCAAAATATCAAATATAGGGTTTACATAACCAGATAGTGTATATTTTATGTAAAATTTGGAATTTTGTTTTGAAATATAATATTGTGGCGCTTTCGCCAGCCCGCACAGAATCAAATCTGAAATCTAGAATTCACTGTCTTTTTCTGGAATAGAGATTATCGCGTTTATTCAGGATTTAACAGTAAACACTGGGACAGTTAGTCAGTGCAAGCAAAAGAGACTTAACTGATTGTGTACCTAATTTTAACCACGTAGGTACATTTTGACTGTGATTGTGAACTTTCAAGTAAGTTCTAGAAAATTCTATTCGAAAACCAAGGGAGATATAGAATTTGTGACTTCACCAACGTGCGTGAAACTTCAATCAAAGACCAGGAAAGATATTTGAAAAAAATTTGAGGAAAATTCCAGAACAGTCTGTAAATGCCTATTACAAGACAACAAGCGAGACAACAAGCAAAAATGAAAGAACAAAAAATCGAACAGCTTCTGCGCAAAATGCTGGAATTTCAAGAGACCAAACAACAACAAGAAAAAAGGTCTATAAACCTAGCAGTCCCAAGGTGGAAAAAACTTCGGGAACTATATAATAATTAGGTGCTTTTTAGGTGCTAATTAGGGCCTCTAATTAAAAATTAGGTGCTCCTAAAAGGAGGGACTGCTAGGTTTATAAAAGCTAGCAGTCCCCTATAGTAAATAATATTTTTTCAAATTTTTTCTTTATATCAGAATTAGGTGCTTTTTAGGTGCTCCTAAATAGTCCAAGAAAAACTAGAATTAATTAATTATTAACTGATTTACAGATTATTTTTTTTAATTACTAGGGGACTGCTGGCTTTACGTTTACATGTTGTTGTTTCAGAATGACGAAAAAACTTTGAGATCTATATAATAATTAGGTGCTTTTTAGGTGCTAATTAGTGCCTCTGATTAAAAATTAGGTGCTGCTCTAGTTTTTGAAAAAATCAAAAAAAACTAAGGGATTGCTAGGTTTATGAAAGCTAGTAGTCCCCTATAGTAAAAAATATTTTTCCAAAATTTTCTTTTGTATCAGAATTAGGTGCTTTTTAGGTGCTCCTAAATAGTCCAAGAAAAAATAGAATTTATTCATTATTAACTGAGTTACAGATTTTTTTTTAATTGTTAGGGGACTGCTGGCTCTACGTTTACATCTTGGTGTGTCAGAATGACGAAAAAACTTCGATATCTATATAATAATGAGGTGCTTTTTAGGTGCTAATTAGGGCCTCTAATTAAAAATTAGGTGCTCCTCTAATTTTTGAGAAAATCAAAAAAAAACTAAGGGATTGCTAGGTTTATGAAAGCTAGTAGTCCCCTATAGTAAAAAATATTTTTCCAAATATTTCTTTTGTATCAGAATTAGGTGCTTTTTAGGTGCTCCTAAATAGTCGAAGAAAAAATAGAATTGATTAATGATTAACTGAGTTACAGATTTTTTTTTTAATTATTAGGGGACTACTAGCTTTCATAAACCTAGCAATCCCTTAGTTTTTTTTGATTTTCTCAAAAATTAGAGGAACACCTTATTTTTAATTAGAGGCCCTAATTAGCACCTAAAAAGCACCTAAATATCATATAAATCTCGAAGTTTTTCCGTCATTCTGACACACCAACATGTAAACGTAAAGCCAGCAGTCCCCTAATAATTAAAAAAAAATCTGTAACTCAGTTAATAATTAATCAATTCTATTTTTTCTTCGACTATTTAGAAGCACCTAAAAAGCACCTAAATCTGATACAAAAGAAAATTTTTGAGAAATATTTTTCACTATAGGGGACTACTCCACATAACAAAATTGCATCCTTAGAATGTATTAAGAATGTTCTTTTTTTAGGAGGAATGTGCCTAGAATGTTCTCCAAAACCATTGCGAATGTCCTGAGAATGTTCTGAGAAAAGATTGTAGAAATACTGTTTGCAATACCCAAGAACTTCCTGGGAAATCCATTAGGATATTCCTAGAATATACCTATGAGATTCTCAGTACGTCCTTAAAAAAATATTCCTGTTTGATTCTAAAAATATGCTCGAAACGTACCTATATTCTCACATTCAAAGAATGTTTCTATGACATTATAGTTATGTTCTCAAAAGAATATTATACCAATATGATTGATTGTTAAATTAATATTCATGCCTTTATTTGCTTCTGTGCAACCTCGCGTTCTCGATCCGAATTGTTTACTTTTTACTCTTATCTTAAAATTGGAATTTAACAGTTAATTTTGTCTTTTTAAATTATAATAACAGTCATTAATGTTTATTAAGGGTGTTTATTTCTAAAACTAGTGAAAGTGCAGTGAAATATGTAGGTAATTTACGGAATAATAACTTTGAACAACCGAGAAATAGATTTCCCTCAGCTTAATCCCAGGGATCTTGAACTTTGCACCTTTCGACGTTGTCACGTTAGGCACGGAACCAAAGTTTACGGAACCAATGAAATCTGAAAAACTGTTATTTCAAGTCATTTTCAACAAAAGCGTTTCCTTACTAAAAATAGGGTCTGATCAACCGTGATCCGCTGGTCTATTCGGAGATTAATTTTGTTGCCGGAATAAAATTGAGTCGAGCAATAATGTCCCAGAAACTACCATCGCACGGTGTGTGCAACAAGTGCTTTGCCGAATACATTTTCAGAGTGAAGGCTGATAAAGGCGATGCTCAGGACGAATTATTTGGCTATCCCTGTGACGGATGCAAGACAGCTTTATGCAGGAAATGTGAAAAATGGAGTACCACTGAGGTGCGATTTATACAAACGATATCGCGTAAAATACCATACTTTTGCAGTGAATGTGTCCAGGAAAAATCGGGTACAATTGTTAAGCAACTAGAAAAACTCAGCTTTGAAAATCAAATTCTAAAGATACAAATGGAAAAAATGGAAATACAAATGAACAAAAATGACACACACATGCTAGAACTACAGGACAAATTCCAAACATTGAAAATGGAAAAGCATGAAGTCGAAGAGTGTTTGAAAAGAAAACAGAGATATACCGTGGATTTCGAAGATGAGGTTTTTGCTGCAGAAGAAAATTTCCAAAATGAGATAAAAAAATACAAGTTGGAGCTGGAACAACAAAAAGCGGAAATGTACAAGCTTAACAAACAAAATAAAGAGCTCACAACAAAAATGCATGATGTTTTGGAAGACCGAAATTGGGAAGTTAAAAACAGAATTGGAGGATATGACTAATACAAAGAATGAAATGTTGGATACGATCAGAATACTAACAAATGACAACGAAGTGTATATGAAGGAATATAAAGCCGCCCAACAGAAATTATTTTTGCTAAATAGCACTTTCAGAAATAGCAGCGGTTTATTAGCGGATGAGGCCACGCAGTGTGATTTGATTTCTGAAGCACTGGAGAACAAGCAAAGCAGGGAAGGTGAACAAGTTGCATCGCATCAGCATACCCAGCAGAAAAGTGACAGTGATTCCAAAATCAAAAACCAAACTGCTCAAAAGCATAAAATTCTTTTGATTGGAGACAATTCCATTGTTGATTTCCACAAATCGCTAGAAAAGCAGGCTAAACTAGAAGCATACAGAATACTCACTATTGCAAAACACAACGCTCTTCTGGAAAACATCATCGAGAATGTCTGCGATTTAACAAAGGACTTTGAAAAAACTGATTACGTAATTATCAGTGGAGGTCAAATGAATGCCCTGTGCGGTGGGAGAATTGACATTTCTTTTTTCCAGAAGCTATCTCACTTGAGTCAGTACACAAATATTGTAATTCTTTCCGTGCCTTTATGGAAAAACCACTTAATATTAAATAAACTGATCGATCAAGTTAATATTAAATTATATGAATTTCTTCAAACTCTGAGTGGTGCATCCCATTTATTTATTAATCTCAACTCGTTCTTGAATTCGTCTTATTTTAATTTTAATTTTAAAAATAATGCTTTAAAATATGTTGCAAAAATTAAAGTATCTGAAAAAATCTCAGAATACATAGAAACTAGAGGTATTGGTCAACATACTAATGACAGTGAAGATAAGGCAGACCATTTTTTAGAGCAAGGTGTGACAGAAACTTCCCAGACAGCTTGATTAAAGCGGAAAAAAAATCAAATTATCAAGAATAAATATTCAGTCCTACTTTTAAACATTCAATCTTTGCGGAATAAAACAAACGAGTTTACTCTATTCCTTGATTCCTGCAATAATCCGAATATTATTCTCTTAACGGAACACTGGCTAAAGAACCAAAAACTAGTTAACATACCAAATTACGTAATTTTGTCAAACTTCTGTCGCACTCACTCTGAACATGGTGGTTGCATGGTTCTGATTAATAAGTCTTTTCTTGGGGCAAATATGTTTGAATCAGTGAATAAATTTGATGTATTGTTAAAAGAAATCACATTTGAGTTCAGCATTGTCTGCTCAAAAAAACTGAACCTGTACATAATCTGTGTATACCGATCGCCCAGGTCAAATACAATTGAATTCTTGACAGGTCTTGATGGCCTCTTGGCTCAAATTTCCCCATCTTCCAGGGTGCTTCTCGGTGGAGATTTTAATATAGATAGACTACCTTGTCGACAATGCAATCTCAACTTTAACGTTAAAAAACCTTTTGACTTCCAATGCTCTAAATATGCATGTCGCAATGCCTACGAGGATTACAGATACATCATCTACGTTAATTGATTACTTATGTTCAAACTATGGCGCGGAAGAAGTGGATTGCAGGGTTGTCAATGCAGCTCTGTCTGATCATGAGGCAATAATTTGTGATATTTTGGAGCCAAAAATAAGGTACGAAGAAAAGGTTAGGCTTGGTAGGGTATTTAATAGGAATAGTTATAATAGGTTTTATCAGGAATGTAACGAGGAATCATGGGGTGATGTGGCAGAACAAGAGGAACCCCTAAGCACTTTTCATCAGAAAACCATTAAAATTTTTGAACAATGTTTTCCCTTAAGGAAACTTAAAATGAAAAAAGAAAAGCCTTGGTTTACTAAGGGCCTCAAAACTTCCTCAAAAAATCTTCGTTGTCTTCATAAAATTAGGAAATTCACTGACAGTTTATTTTTTCACAACTTCTGTAATTCATATAGGTCTCTTTATCGGAAACTTATTGCCGCTGCTAAAAAGAAATACTACCACGATCGTCTTAATTGTTCATCAAATAAACAAAAAGAATGTTGGCAGATCATAAATAATATTCGCTCCAATAACTCTTCAAAACCGTCATCGTCCCCTGAGGTTACTCCTGATCATTTAAATCAGTATTATTGCAGTATTGCAAGAAATTTAACAAAAAATATCAAACCCAGTGAAGATTCGATGTCCTATATGACTGGAACATCAGTGGGTAATTCATTTTCATTTACTCCAACTAACTTGCATGAAGTAAAACAAACCTTGAAAAGTATTAAGAAGAAGAATACCTCCGGTGAGGATGGGCTGTCTGCGAACATCTTGCTTAGCATGCCTGATATGATTCTGTCTGGCATACTTGTGAACTCTATAAATATCTCGTGGAGAAGTGGTATATTTCCTACAAGCCTAAAGTCCGCAATGGTGATTCCCTTGCATAAGGGGGGGGGGGGGGACGAGTCCAACCCAGCAAATTTTAGGCCGTTTTCACTACTGTCCACTCTATCTAAGTTGATTGAAAAGTTAACTCAGACTCGTGTCATGTCATTTCTGGAGCGTAACAAAATTCTAAGCAAGACCCAATTTGGATTTCAAGCCAACACTGGCACAAACAATGCTATGTTCCATTTGCTCACTCGGTTATTTTCGTCCCTCAACCAATCATATGTAGCTGCGGCGGTATTTTGCGACCTAGCAAAAGCATTTGATTGCGTA